TTTAAAAAGAGCCGAAGGTAAGTCGTCTGGGCCTGGTGATTTGTAACGTTTCAAGAGTTGGAGTTCCTTGCGGACTTCCGCCTCATTTGGTGGATCAGTCGTCACCGGCCAAGGAGGGCAGGACAGTCTGACCGATGTTGCCGGAGCAGCAGGCCAGTTGAACTGCCCTTCAAAGAATTCTGCCCATCGTCCAAGACGTCGATGGATGTTAGTGATTGGCGTTCCGTCATCCTCGCAGATTGTTTCGCTCACACCAGACTTCTTGCTGCCGGTGGCTCGGATGAGTTGGAAGAGCTTCCGGTAATTACCAGATGCAGCTGCTGCTTCCAACTCACTGGCACGCTCCGACCACCAGGTTTCTCGGTCCTTACGCAAGCTTTGCCCGATTTCATTACGTAACAACCTTCGTCTGTGGTCAAACTCACGGTCACCCGGAGTAGACCGACGGGCTTCAATCAGTTGTAAGGAACCAGAAGAAACCCAGTGCTTGTAAGCGGGACGTTTCGCAATCCCACAGCTGACTTGACCCGCCATTTTCATGGCGTCATGCAATTGCAACCAATGCTCATCTATACTTTTCGGTGGAATAGTGGCTAGCCTAGAAGCTAGCTCGGCTCGGTACTTACTAGCAACAGAAGTTGCAGCCAGCTTGCTAACATCAATCCTGTGGTGGCGGTCACTTCGTTGTCCACTGAAAAGTAAGGTAAGATTGGCGCAGACCAGAGCATGATCAGATTCCAGATAGGTACTCCAAAAGGAGCGGCAGTCTTGTACACAACCGCGCCAGCGGTAGCTGATCGCGATGTGATCAATCTGAGTCCAGGCTTGAGATGCAGAGGGGGGACGCCAGGTGGCACATCGGCGATGACTGTGCCGAAAGTTAGTGCTAGCCAGAAACAGGTTGTGGTCTGTGCATAGTTGCAGTAGACGTTCCCCGTTATCTGTCCTGCGACCAACGAGTCCCCATCGGCCACCTAAACGACTCTCTTCTGTGCCTAGACGCCCGACCTGAGCATTCAAGTCTCCAGCTAGTACTACAATATCTGTCGAACGCACTTTCTGGAGAAGAACAGATAACTGGTGGAAGAACTCATCCTTGATTGCATCCGGGCTGCAATCTGTCGGGGCATAGGCGGAGATGACGAAAAGACATCGTTTCTCACGCCGATTTCTTCTCACTCTGATGGTACTTTCTAATCTAACAGCACATAACCGACTGTTAATGGGGATCCAGTCGACTAGTGCTGCCTCAGCTCTTGCGCTTAGTGCGACACCAACGCCAGCAAGACCAGACGAAGATGCCACAGGGTCCCCGGATAAACGCACGTAAAACAAGCTTTTTGGAGCGACAGATGGAGAGCGAACTTGTAGTACTTCACCAGAGTCTTGAATACGGGTCTCGGATAGACAACACACATCAATATTAAGACTTTCCAAAGACATTGCCAGCCCTATCTGTTGTCCGACCTGCATAAGTGTGCGAACGTTAAAGGCAGCCAGTTTGAATGGTGCGCGTGGTTTCAGAAAGACTGCTTCAGTACTCTTATTCGATGGTAACATACAATTTTCAAACCAGGCAGTGACTCGAGAACGTTTAGATAAAGCTGAATTTTTACCATAGGCGAGCTGCTGTCTGAGTCGAAACGGATACAAAAAGTAGAAATAGGAGATAGTGAGTAAATGACGTAGTAAATAATAATAATAATAATAATAATAATAATAATAATAATAATAATAACAATAATAATAATAATAATAATAGTATCAGTCATTTTAATGTTAGAGAAGAACGAATATTTTCCGTAAGCGAATATTTCATCATGTTTTGGTGTGTGGGCTGAGATACTGCCCGGGTGCCCAAACCGAAGCAGGTGGTTTTCTTAGGGGGCCACACCCCGAGCCTTTGACCTAAAGGTCTAGTCCACAAGGCAGTGGAGCATCGTGAGGAGATGCAGTCCCATGGAAGCCGGTGACCAAAAGTTGGTTCATACGCCATTTGTTCCTTCAGGATACTGGAGCCCATGTGCACCATAGAATTGGGATCCGGTTATAGCGCCGGACGTTCGCTTTTCGTCCTCTCATTTTCGTAAACAACACCCCCGCCACGAGAAGGCAGTGAGTAGGACTTCCCTGGCAGAGGCTGTATACGCGTGGCCGTGTGAGAGTATTTCGAGAGGGAGGGCGAACCCTCCCAGCTCTCGGCCATACCAGGGCATTTGGGGGCTTTATTTATTTATTTGAACACATAAATATTGGTACAGGGGGGCACCAAATATATATGCGCCACACAAAACAGTGATAATTAGAAGAGAAGGAGAAAAGAGAAGAAAAAAAAAATAAATAAAGCTGGAAACTTATTACTTCCCTCCCATGTTTCAAGAATCAAAACAAGTTAACACAGTCGACGCCAGAAAACTTATTCGGGAGTTAAATGTTTTCGCAAGTGCAGTTGTCAGAAATCTAATGGATAGTAGATACAATGTCAATCAGTGAATACCCTTAAAGCATTCAAAACAACTGACGAATATCGGAGATATAATTGTAGCTCAATACTTTTATCTCCTTTGTAAGCCTACTTTTGTTCACACACTGATTTGACCCTGTGTCTCGCGATGTAATCACTTGCGGTGGCCATTATCATAATGTGGTCGCGTACTTATATAATAACTAGTAACTATACCCCACTTTTGAAGACTAGCGCTTTTGTTTCATTTCAAAATATAAAAGATGCATATCATTTTCAAACGTCTAGTGCTATATTTTGAGGGAACTCTGAAAGAGGTGGAAACATTCACTTATCTGAGCAGCATCGCCGATGAAGGTGGAGGATCTGATACAGATGTAAAGGCGAGAATCGGTAAAGCAAGGACAGCATTCCTACAGTCGGAAAACATATGAAACTCAAAACAACTGTCAAGCAATATCAAAGTCAGAATTTTCAATACGAATATCTACGGTTCTACTGTACAGAGCCGAAATGTGACGAACTAGCAAAACCGTCGTCAAAAAGGTACAAGTATTTATAAACGGTTGTCTACGCAAATTACTCAATATCCGTTGACCGGATACCATCAGTAACAGCCTACTATGAGAGGGATTAAACCAGCTTCCAGTTGAGGAAGAATTTAGGGAAAGACACAGGAAGTGGATAGGACACACATTGAAGAAGTCATCAAACTGCATCACAAAGCAAGCACTAACTTGAAATCCTGAAGGGAAACAGAAAAGAGGAAGGCCAAAGAACACACTGCTCCAAAAATTGGAAGTAGACATGAATAGGATGAATAGCAACTAGAAAAGATTGCCCAGGACACAGTTGGACGAAGAATGCTAGTAAGCGGCGTATTTTTCCCCATGCCATATTTTTCCTTTCTCTCTCGTTCCCATTTCGAACACCCACCAAATTATATGAGACGTTTTTTATCACATGACTCAGTGTTACCTTAGGTTGTTTGGAGTTGATGAGTAGCCTCAACATATGATGGATTGGTTCCATTCTACAAATCTCGTTCTTGATTTGTTCAAATTTATAGAGTGGACACTCTAATAATGCTTGTTCTGCCCTTGTACTTAATGCTATGCCTACACCTGCCAGTCCACGATAAATAGCCGTTGGGTTGCCAAATACAGGGAGGGTGTATCTCGTCGGCCCTCCGTTTTGCCGAGGTGAGGTCAAAAGAATGACCACGCTAGGATCCTGTATGCGTGTTTCGGAGACAGCATACATCAATCGTACGAGATTCTAGAGTCTCAGCCAAGGAAGCCTGCCGGCCGATTTGACATAGGGTACGTACGTTGAAGGCTCCAATGTGTAGTTTGCAGCGAGGTTTCAGTAGACCTGAGACAGTGTTTTGCACACTAAAATCTTTGGCCGTAGTGATACCTGAGGAGGAAGCCAAAAGAGGAAGTTTAGTGTTGAAGGTCGACGTATGGAGAATAATAGGAATTGAAGAGAGAGGTTGATTATGAATACAGTGGTCTTGAGTGTTGTTAGAGGTACAACTTCGCCTTCGGACCTTGGGTTTGTTGCTTTTAGTCTTACGGCTTTTCATCCGACCTGTCTGGCATGGTAGGATCTTTGTCCCAGCTAGTATAGCTCGATTGTTTCATCACGGTAGGCAAGCCCGACCATCACGTCAAGGTAGCAACAACGGTCATCGACTGAGATGGTTGGGCCACGTGTTACGCATACCTGAACACCGATTACTACGACGCGCAATGCTAACCTGTGTTGGGGATAATTGGAAGAAAGTTAGGGGCGGCTAAGCCAAAACGTGGCATCAGTGTTTGAAATCACTAATTCTAGTCTTAGCCATGTTGATAGATGCAGACTACTTGGTTAGGGTCGGCGTAACTGTCTAACCAATGGTTGGAGACTCTTGGTGACATGGCTCAGAATCGATCACAATTACGTAGGTGTATACACTCTCTGTCTTCCCTTAAACTATGAGACTACAATTTTCTCATATCTTTATTTCTGCGAACTAATTATTTCTTCCTGTTCTATCTCCTTATATGCGATCTTTCCTTTATATATTACACCATTGAGTTGATTGCTTCCATGAATTTGGTGTTCATGTTGTTGTGTTAATGAGGTGTGGCAACTTGGACCAATGCCTATATGTGCCTGGTCCTACGTTGTAACTGACTTACTGATAGAGTGAACAAACCTTATGAGGAAAATACTTGCTGAAATAGGACAAAGTCATTACCGTTTAGAGATTTGATTCCTAACTCGTTAACTGCACAGCAAATTGTTTGGAGGTAAAATCCTACTGTAATTAACATTTCGAGTGAATGTTTTTTGTCGGGGTATCAGTGAGTAGGACTTAAGTAACATTCGAAATTAAAATTTTGGCTTTACCAGGAAAGAGCCGACTGTGTTATTTTGTATCCCTCTGTTAGTGGGACATAGATTGGATTTAAGCATGCTCAATGCACGATTGCTTTGGCGCACGCTGATTGGCTGATTTTTATCCAATCAGCGCTAGTCTATACATGGAGAAGCTTCTAGATTCTTCTTATGTAAAAAGCTATAAATATACTAACGGTTTTCCTATTTCGCTTCTTGCTTCTTGCTTCACCTAACCTTGTTATTTGGAATATAATCTTCCTGCTCAATCGTGTTCTGATTTGGGGCCTTGTCGAGTGAATCTGTGACCGTGAATACTAAGCGATAGGAATAGCTGGGTTATAACCGTAAGAGCGAAAATATAACAGTGGCGACGAGGAAAAAGGAAAATAAATTCAATATGTCCATATCAGACGACCAGCTTAACCGAATACTACAACAACAGCAACAACAATTAGATGCACAAATGCGGTTGTTAGAGACTCTGACTCAACAGCTTAGCTTCCACTGCTCGAGTTCACATGCCATTTCAAGTACGTCTTGTGATGCAGTTGCTAGCAGCATACCAGAATTCATCTATGATCCCGAAAGCGGAAATACTTTTCTCACGTGGTTCAAACGTTGGGAAGATACATTTAGAATAGAATTCTGTAACCAAGACGACGCGTGGAAGACTCGACTGTTGGTACGTAAGTTAGGAATTAATGAACATGCACGCTATGCTGACCATATATTGCCTAAGTTACCTCGAGAGCTCAGTTTCGAGGAGACGATAATTCAATTGTCAGAGATATTCGGTGAATCCTCCTCATTGTTTAGTATTCGACATCAGTGTCTAAATTTGGTGAAACGCGAAGCCGATGAATATGGTGTTTTAGCAGACATCGTCAACAGAGAATGTGAACGGTTCAAGTTACGCTCGTTGACAGAAGACCAATTTAAATGCCTAATATTCATCAAAGCTCTTCAGTCACCACAAGATGCTGAGATCAGGACTAGACTTTTGGCTCGACTAGATCAAGACCCAAACGTCACACTCAGAACGTTAACAGATGAGTGTAAGCGGCTACAAAGCATCAGACACGACAACAAGTTGATTGAACAGGTAAATCCTAATTTAACCTGCAGTAGTGTCAATGCTATTACTAGGTTAAAAGTTAAGAAGCCGATAACAACTCGTAATAAACCAACGACTGCATGCTGGTTATGTGGTGATTGGCATTATGTACGATTCTGTCCATTTAAAAAGCATATATGTCAGGTGTGCAGCAAACGTGGACATAAAGAAGGTCATTGTCCACCGAATCGTACGTCTCATCCCAAAAAGAAGCATAAACGTTCTCGACATGTGAAATCAGCCGAGTTTAAATCTCTTTCTCTGGTAGCTGCCTTTCAAACAAACTATGACATTCGGAGAAAGTATGTTACCATCCAGATAAACGGCATATCAGCTCGTCTTCAAATTGACACGGCATCAGATATCACCTTAGTATCTAGAGAAACGTATAACTTGCTGGGTAAACCGCCAATGAAGCCATCTAAGAAAACGGCCAAAAACGCATCAGGTGGTGTGCTAAAACTGGTTGGTGAATTACAGTGTGAATTTTCCTTCAATGGAACTAACTGTACAGGAATATGTTACCTAACAGAACGGCCAAACCTTGATCTTCTTGGTCTAGATATGTTAGATAAACTTGGAATAATGGATGTACCGATTAACAGTGTCTGCAACGTATTGTGTTCATCATTAGACACCCCAGTACTTGCAAAGAAGACATGTGAAAGGTTACTAGAAAAACTGAAAAGAAAGTTTGCCTCTGTTTTTCAGAATAGCCTTGGCCACTGTACCAAGATGAAAGCTCATTTACCACTGAAACCAGATGCCAAACCTATTTTTCGTCCTAGACGTCCTGTACCATATGCTGCTCTTGAGTTAGTCGATCAGGAACTTAATCGCTTGCAACAGGCTGGTGTAATTCAACCAGTCAACTACTCTGCATGGGCCGCACCGATCGTAGTGATTAAGAAGGCGAATGGAACTATACGCATATGTGCCGATTTCTCGACCGGTTTAAATGCTGCATTAGATGTGTATCAATATCCATTACCAGTTCCTGAAGACCTGTTTGCCAAACTTAATGGTGGGACATGTTTCGCGAAAATAGACTTTTCCGATGCCTATCTACAAGTAGAAGTAGATGAAGACAGTAGAGAGCTTTTGACCATTAACACTCATCGAGGGTTATTTCAATACACCCGTCTACCATTTGGCATCAAGACTGCACCTGCCATCTTTCAGCAAATAATGGATACGATGCTAACAGGTATACCTGGTACAGCAGCTTATCTAGATGATATCATAGTTATGGGTTCAACTGACAATGAACTTTCTGATCGACTACATCAAGTCCTTAACCGAGTGTTGGAATATGGTTTCCAACTACGTGAGGAAAAGTGTACTTTCTTTATGCATTCCATCAAATACCTTGGTTTTATCTTAGATAAGAACGGTCGCCGACCAGACCCTGCCAACATCGAAGCCATTCAGAAGATGCCTGCACCAACTGATGTCTCTTCATTAAGATCCTTCTTGGGGTTAATCAGTCACTATAGCACATTCTTGCCTGAAATGCATCGAGTGAGAGGTCCGCTGAATGAATTACTATCAAAAGATAAACCTTGGCAGTGGTCAGCAGAATGTCAAGCATCTTTCGACAGAGTCAAATCAATGCTCAGCTCAAAGATTCTTTTGACACACTTCGATCCCAGCTTGGAAATTGTTGTTGCATCTGATGCATCTAGTCATGGAGTTGGAGCAGTAATATCTCACGTGTTTCCGGACAAATCAGAAAAGACAATTGCCCATGCTGCTAGATCACTTACCCCAGCCGAGCGGAACTACAGTCAAATTGAAAAGGAAGCTCTTGCGATCATTTTCGCTGTCAAAAGATTTCATAAAATGCTCTATGGTCGTACATTTACTCTACTGACAGATCACAAACCTTTGATTGCAATCTTTGGTTCTAAGAAAGGAATCCCTGTCTATACGGCTAATAGACTACAGCGCTGGGCAACAATGCTCCTGAGTTATGATTTCAATATCAAGTATCAGTCGACAAATACTATCGGTCAAGCCGACGCTCTCTCTCGATTAATTGGAGTTCAGCATCCTGGACCAGAGGATATAATCATTGCCTCCATAGCAGTAGACCCAGAAATACGAAGTATAGTGGCAGATGCCATTCGAAACACTCCAGTGTCGTCAGATGAAGTCAGAGAAGAAACTCTTCGAGACCCGATTCTACAAGAAGTTAGAAAGTTCCACCTGGAAGGATGGCCCACGAAGATCAGTTCCACAGAGCTTCAACAGTTTTACCAGCGTAGACTCTCTCTCTCAATCATCGACGACTGCCTGCTGTTTGCAGAACGTGTCATAATCCCAAAGAAGCTACAACCAGCAGTGCTTGAACAGTTGCACGCAGGACATCCTGGAATAAATCGCATGAAAGCATTAGCACGAAGTTATGTATACTGGCCGCATTTAGACACTCAACTGGAGCAGCTATCCCGTTCATGTACCAAATGTGCATTAGCAACGAAAGCACCGCGGAAAGCAGAGCTGCAATCATGGCCAATACCACAGTCACCGTGGCAGCGTCTACACTTGGACTTTGCTGGTCCACTTCATGGACAAACTTACCTTTTGGTAGTTGATGCATATAGCAAGTGGCCAGAAATCTTTCTCATGGAACACCCGACTGCAAGCTGCACAGTCAGTAAGCTACGTCAACTATTCAGTCGTTTCGGAGTCCCGGAATTGATAGTTAGTGACAACGGAACACAGTTTACGTCCGTAATTTTCTCACAATTTTGTCGGCAGAACGGAATCCATCACGTCCGAACACCTCCATTCCATCCCCAATCAAATGGTCAAGTGGAACGCTTTGTGAGTACATTTAAAAATGCTCTAAAAAAATCTAAAGGGGAGGGGACCACCGAAGAGATCTTAGAGAGGTTCCTGCTTATTTATCGCTCGACACCGAACCCTCAGACGATTAAGGGGGTCTCTCCAGCAGAAGCTCTACTTGGCAGAAAAATACGAACACATTTCGATGTCATCCGTCCTACGCCAGCTCTTGAGCCTCAACGAAACCTATCTATGGAGAATCAGTTCAATCGACATCATGGGGCACAAAAACGATTGTTCACGGTGGGACAAAAAGTACTTGCTATGGACTATCGTGAGAAACATCCTACATGGACAGCTGGTCGGATCTTGAAAAAGAAGGGGAGTGTGGTTTATGAGGTGTCAGTTGGCTCAGAAGTTTGGGTACGTCATGCTAACCAATTGAAAGCAACTTCGATAGCCAGCAACGAGATTCAATATCGATTACCTCTTGATGTTCTGCTAGACACCTTTGAAATCAAAACGCCTGGAACAGACAGGTCAGTTTCTGTGCAAGCAAAGAGTGATACTTCTTTATTGCCTAGACGATGGACAAATCGAAAGCACAGGCCAGTCACTCGGTTGCAGTTGGACCCTAGCACCAGATCCTACGAATCTGCTCAAAGGGGAGGTGTTAGTGGGACATAGATTGGATTTAAGCATGCTCAATGCACGATTGCTTTGGCGCACGCTGATTGGCTGATTTTTATCCAATCAGCGCTAGTCTATACATGGAGAAGCTTCTAGATTCTTCTTATGTAAAAAGCTATAAATATACTAACGGTTTTCCTATTTCGCTTCTTGCTTCTTGCTTCACCTAACCTTGTTATTTGGAATATAATCTTCCTGCTCAATCGTGTTCTGATTTGGGGCCTTGTCGAGTGAATCTGTGACCGTGAATACTAAGCGATAGGAATAGCTGGGTTATAACCGTAAGAGCGAAAATATAACACCCTCACTCATTTGGACATCCAAATGAATAATAATAAACATATTTTTGTGATATCCCAATTGTTAGAAAATTGTAATAACGTTTTGTGACCTAATGTAAGTCACTTTTTCAGAGCAAATAAATAATACGCATTAGGCCGCGAAATGTCATTAATACAATTTCCTACTAGTTGGGATATCACGGAAATATACTTATTTCTAACTTTTAACCCAATGCTCAGTTTATTTGGAACTTTCAAATCCAATCTTGACACTGATACCTACAAATCCATATAATTACTTAGCGGTTCGTGTAATTTCTTTGGTTTTATTATTTTTTCAATGAAGCTTCGTGTAGATCGTTTCAGTTATATCAGTTTGGGATGCGGCGGATGGCAGGTTTCGCCAACGCAGCTGGACCAATGCAGACAGCAATAGTAGGAATGATGATTGGAACTGTAGCAGCTGTTTGCTGTAATAAAATTGAAAGTAGCATTTCTACACAGCAATAGATATCAGATCTTTTGCTAAACTTCTGTTCATTTATTTCCGTAATAAATATCTTTCTCAATAATTAACTATTTTGTGGTAGAATGCTTTTACTATTTGTTATTTAGTGATGGAAAAGTCCTAAAAATGTTACCTTCTGTATAGAAGTTTACATTACAAAACTATTTTGTCAGTCTAGTACTGCCTCATTTATTAATGTCGATAGTTGAACAGTTTGTAGATCTAAGCGATGATAGTTCTCACTTTTCTTCGTATACCGAAGCCTGTATCATCTCAGTCTGTGCCAATTTTCGGGCCGTTAACGTGAGTATAATCACACAGCTAATGTTGATAATCCGGTATCAGGATTATGAATTCGTCCCTGATAATTGATATGACTACGATTCGCTTTCCAATACAATTACTTTCCAATCCTTCGTATTTCAGACACTGTCGATGCCCCTTTTGTCAGGCTGTGTAAAATCAGGAATTAGTTATGAATGTTTGGGGAATACTGCACTTCAAACACCAAAGATTGATAGGGTAAACAGACCCACACAGCCTACCATTAGAAGCATGAAGTATGTATATTTCGGAGTCCATAAATCTTATGTTGTACACTACAAGCATGCAAACTAGTTTCACCGAAAGGTACATGATTCATTTGACAAAATATTAGCACCAAACGAATAATTCACGTCTAATGTGACATTAGTTTTAGATATGGCTTGAAAATTGTATTTCCATAGTACCAAGTTAACTTATACTACTACTCATAATTTAACAATAATCCACTTCCATACCTTGAGATTCTAATCAAGATTATGATCGTCTGAACTGAAGTAAAATCAGACATTTCCGTATCAGTAAATCAACAGCCATACACATAAAATAAGAATTTATATTATAAATAGCATATTATGTTCGATCTGTTCACCTATTGGCAGATAGCAATAAATATTCAAAATTATCTGTCAAGCAATTACCAAAAGTTGATCATATAAGGAAAATAAAGCAAAGTGGGTCCCATTTAATCCAGAAATAACTATAAAGTGGAAAATAATTGAGGAAATATTTTCATATTTGCCTTCACCTCCATTTGTACTAAAAGGACAATTGTTTCCAAAAATCAATTTTACAAGTAAGAAAGATGCATCTTATGAAAAAGAATACAATTTCTATAAGAAAAGCCAAAAGAAATATTTCAACGTGGTTGGAAAGACTTTGATGTTCCAAATGTCCATGATTCAATACTTGGCAAGCCGTTAGGGTGCGTGAAGGTATCTGTACGTAAAACTGAGTCTTTAGGCGATAGTTTTGTTAGTTGGCAGTTGTTAATACTTGCAGACTGTAAAATTAATTGGGAGTTTTCAGTCGGTAGATTTGAAGAGTCCATAGTCTGTAAGAAGTCGTTATTACTATCACAAGAAAATAAAGTGATCTGTTCAAGTTCGTCAAGAGAAGTTCCTGACTTGCATGTTTCAATATCATTAAAACTGAGTACTGTATCGACATTTTCGTCTCCACACTTTGACTTGAGGTTCTCCACGAATAGGGACGTATCTGTATGACGACTGGATAACACACCGAAAATTTTCTCATCAATACCATATAAATCAGTAGCAGTAGACCTCTTTTCATCACTAATACCCTGTTTAGAATTTAACACCTGACTGCCCTTTCTAACATACTTTGTACTTAGTCTTTCTTTTGGATAACTTATATTATTGTTACATGAGCTTGGCAAGTCGTTATATTGAGATTCAATATTTTCTAGTCTGATTTCCGACAAAGGATTAGAATTTACTTTATCATGATTAAATCCAATTTTAGAGGAAGTCACAGGTAAGTATGATGTAGCGCTGTCACTTGTTTGTGTTATAAATGGCTGAAAACTTAAATTAGTCATATTACTATCCAGTAGCATGCCATTTAACATTGAGGAATTTGTTTTAATTGGGATTACTGTAGACTGCCTAATGACAGTCGCCTTGAGAGGTTCACACAGGAAAGTACGATATATGATTGGTTGTTCATTTACAAGTTGTTGAACAGTTGGTGACTGCATATTCAAAATTCGAATTTCCTTGATTTGATTTCCCTGGTTTAGTGACGATGTTGATATCAGGGATTCAGTTATTCCGTCAATAGTTTGACATGGTATAATTTTATGCAGTTGATAATTTACATGTTCGATGTCTCTACTATCAGTAACTAATAATGTCATTGTTTCGTCGACTTCTTTATTTTCCTTAGAAATATAGTTGTCATTTATGGCAGGTGATATGAACACTCTTTTGTCATATGGATTGCTAACACGTGTTGTATGGGAATAATTATAATCTACTTTTACTGGTTGGCATAATTCCATGTTCAATTTATTATTTACCTGTGGATTTGGTTGTAAGTAATTTCTGCAGCAATTGATGGAGTTAACAACAGTTGTTCGGTTTTGTTCAGTTATCACTGGCGTTTGGTTTTGAGCATGATTTTCATCAGGATTTTGATTGCTAAAATGAGTAGAAAAATTTTGACCAACGGGAAATGTAACATTCTCACGGTTCATTTTAGAATTGTTGTTGTTATTAGGCGTCATCGATTTTGATGTAATTGGTATGACAATTTCTGACTTGGGAATACGTTCATCAGCTTCAATTTTGTTGTCATCGCTATTTACATTACGTGCACGTTTCTTAGGTTTATACTTATAGTCAGGAAATTCTATGGCATGTAACTGTTGCAAACGAAAAGCTTCATCTATGTATTTATCACGCATTTTCAAATCTAGTTTTCTCCATAGTTGTCCCACTCGTTGACTTATGTGTACGTTAGGTGCATCGGGGAACCAGTGCAGTATGATTCTTCGAAGGTATTGGGCGAAAATCTGTAGTGATTCATGAATAAGGAAATGTTCGTAAAAAACCAAGGGTGAAATTTCTAAAAGATATACATAATGATACACCAGTAACTGTTACCGATGTTTAAACGATCTACATAGTCACATAGTTCTGATAATCTCCGTCTTCTTATTACATTATCGAAATTTATAAAAGGGACTAATTGCTTTAAAGATCTACAATAAGTTCATTTTCACATCGTTTATTCAACTGATAATTTGGAACTGACACTAATAAGAAAATGGCTGAACGTAATTCTCTCATAACCTAAACAAGCTTATAATCTAACTCTATCCAGTTACCACAACTTAATATGAAACATCGTTTGAGTCAGGATGAGATAACCAGTTGCTAGAATTTGAATGGTCGATAAAACATATTCCTGGTTGAACTCCATATGATATATATCAGCTATTGAAGAATTAAAATATCAATCCTAATAAAAGACCACAAGTTAATAGATTTGTCCTTTTTCATTTTCACATAACTTGGATCAACTCGTATCTACCATTCCTTATCAACACTCAATGTTCTAAATCTAGTCTAATTTCCACTTTATTAGTTAGCTTGTTGTGGTTCATTTTTTAAACATTTAGGAATTTGAAACGATATACAAAGATATAAATTTAATATTTCTTAGTTCTTTGATTTCCATTTACATGAAATAGGGTTTAGTGACATTATACAATGAAGTACTGGGAGACAGTACTTTTCTATGTTGGCTTGTTCATCTATCCGTAAACTAACTATGGCCGTTTAACAATAACGACAATTAGCCATATTTATCTGGTCAAATAAGAAACAAAAGTGGTTCATCCAGTTTCCAAAGAGGTTCAGAATGATAACTAGTCATTGTTTCCGAAAGCTGGTCAAAGAACCAAATATTTTAATGCAGAAAAACATGGCTACTTATATCATTGCAGTCCTAAACACCAATGGGAGGATTCATACAATCAATACAAAAATGAATTAAACTTCACGCCATTGCACAAGCTAGGACGAAATGCGTATCCTGGATTCCACTACTGGCAACTATTCATCTCTGCTTATAACGCTTGTGACTGGAAATAATCAGAATAGGATACACATGTACTCACTGCCTTACATGCTGTTAGTTTTGTTATCGTGCTGATGTGGAATGTGACAATTTGTGGTCGGACGACTCATACCTGAGTGCTGTCATGAAACACTAAAACAGAAAGTCTGTCTGCGGTAACCATGACGATGCGTCAACCTAAAATCACTTGTTAGTCGGCGATTTAATAAAATAATTGACTAACAATCATATCATGAAGGAAAAGAAGTCAAAACATTCGTGTAAAATTTAAGTGATCTATTCAATAAATGATTATTCGTCTGAAAACCGCATCTAGAAATGAAGCCTTCTGCCAAGGTTACCCAGTGTCTTCCTGTTTGACGAATAAAAAAGGACTTGGAAGATAATCGATGAGGTAAATTTTTTGTTAATATAAACTATGAAATTCAAACTTTTTTCTGTAGGTGAACTAAAGATTTCGAATAACTAAGCAGGAAGAT